ATAAATAGCTCCGGCTGCAGCGTGCTTCAAATCTGGCACAAACGATAATCGTCAAAAACCCGTCGTCCTTCCTCGCCCCTTCGGGGATTTATTTCTTTAAACCTAAGCATGCCAGAACATTGAAATAAACGACATTGTCTTTCGTAAGGAACGCAGCACCGCGTGTAAAAGTTCGAGAAAAAAAAAAATTACGAATGTACCCCACTACTTGAAATCAAATGAAACCGTCCGCCGGTCTTTCGAAGTTCGACGAACGTCGAACTTTTACCCTAAAAGTTTGAAGTTCGTCGAACTTCTGACTTTTCAGAATTCGAAAGTTCGAAACTTTTCGAATTCTCTTGATAAAGAAATTCGAAAGTTCGAAATTCATCGAATTTTTTGGTCAGTCAAGTTCGAAAATTCGACAAGCATTGAACCTTGCAGCGAAATAAGTTCGAAAGTTCGAAAAAAGATCGAATTTTTTAGCGTAATAAGTTCGACGGTTCGAAAAGCGTCGAACTTCTTAGCTTAACAAGTTCGAAAATTCGACCTCCGTCGAATTTTACGATATAGACAATTCGAAAAATCGAAATCTTTCGAACCTTTCGAACCGCTTGATTCGATCATCGAAACTTCGATTCGAAAAAAGTTCGCGGCATCCCTAATGGTAGGCAATTGCGATGGAGATTTGTGAGCGAGAGTGGCGTGTGCTTCGACCTTCTGACGCTTGAATTACCACCGATTGCACTTCACACGCCTCGTTAGATCAAATCATGTAGCTCTGATGTGCCGGGTTGGTTCGAGAAAATAAAGCAATCCCGTTTTTTTCGGACCGCAAAGACAAACTATAGGCTTTGCGGAAATCTGAAACTACGTAAGACTGTGACGCTAGTATTGGTGATAAAATGCGGAAGTTTGAGCATACGACGTTACCTGGATGAAGGGATACAAAAGAATAACAAAAGTCCTCCGTGGGTTGACGTCCACCTAAGCGTAGTATTTATCCATTCGAAATTTGAATTTGTGGGCGCCTGCAGCATTTATTTAAATTAAAAATCAGTTTTTTCTATGCTGCCAACTTTTCTATTACAGAAATAATTGCAACAGGCTCCCACAAATTTAAATTTCGGTTTGATGAATATTAGGCTAAGGTGGATACAGAAATTTAGTACTTCTTTTGTATCTTTTGATACGAGTAGCGTCATGTGCTCAAAGTTTTGTATTTTATCACTATCGGTATAGTTCGGTTCCCCTTAAGTCCAGACGCATCCGACACTACGAGCATAACCAATCAAACAGCGTCCAAAGGGTACCATCATGGTGTTCCACATGTTTCTGTACGTGTCACATTATCGCTTAACCAACCATAAACAAAAAAGGCCCCATGACTTGCGCTTTTGACACTTTTTGATTGGTCCGATTTGCTCAAAAGACTTAAAGTGCTCAGGCGAGCTGATGGTAGCTAATCATGTTGTTTAACACCTGGGGTGCAGACAAGGGGAAAAACTTTTAGGTCGAGGGAACAGACACAGAAGGGAACGTCCCAAGACGTTCATTTTTTTTTGTCTGTTACCTTGACTTAAAGTTTTTTTGTTTGTTTTTTGCACCCCAGTCTCAGGTGTGAAATGACTTGATTAACCCCAGTAGCTCATAGCGTCGGCCGGGTCTAGACTTAAGCGGAAAGGAAGCGCAGGAGTTGAGGTGACGTCAGAACGACAGCGAGCTCCGATTGGCTTAGATTGAAAGGATAGTGGGTAGACCTCAATGCTTCATGCCTTGAGGTCTACCTACTATTGGTTTCAATGAAGCAATAAGAGCTCGGCGTTGGGACATCATCGCAACTCCTGCGTAGGAAGCAGACGAACTTCCACTCCGCATAGAGTTACATTCTCACGGAGTTTCATTTTTCTGAGACGCGTTGCGATAAGACCGGGTTAATTCTCCCGATCAAACCCGGTATCTCGTTTTATTAGGCGTAGACTGCCGCCCAACATTATTTAGAAAACAGCATCAGGTTCATCTGCTTAGTCGTAAAAAACTAACTTTCTATAAAAAAAAAAACAAAAAAAAAGAGACAAACGCGAGAATTTTATGACGGTTTTAACCTAGGTAAGCACACATGCTTTAGAACCCCTGGAGACTGCAGTTTTTGTGGGCTAGCATGCTGGCCTCTAGAATCTCTCGGTAACAACCTTCATACTCTACCTCGAGGTTCTATTGCAGCGGTCTTCAAAAATGAACGGAAATTACGTTTTGTTTAGTTTTTTTTAAATGCCTTTTATGCACGAGTGATTCTTCGAATTGAATATGGTAACGCTATTTAATCGCGCCTTTCTTTCTTTAGCCCCACACAAAATGTTTGTGGTGGAGCATGGAATCATAAGCTTTTGCAGAGTTAGTTTTGAGGATGTAAACCGACTGGGTGCAGAGAGAAATGTAAAATAAAAAAAATTAACATATTTTAAACCAGGATGACACTTCCATTTAAGACACCGTGATTGTTTATTCCTTTGTTATGCGCGCTCAATCCTGTCTCTACGTCGATAAACTCTTACAGTTCCGGTATTACCGGGTACTCCAGAACATAAGAAACGTTGTTGACGCAAAAACTCCCGAATTAGCGCTTGGTGACTAGCCCCATGCCCAAGTACGATGAAGACTTCATTCCGGTACCAGAACTCTGGCAACAATCGACAGAATGGAACATCAGTCGCCTTTAGTCGCAACTGGAGCTAGTGAGTACGGCCTATTTGGTGCCCGAGCGCCACCTTAACCAGGTTCACCAGACATGATCGCGTATGCCGTCACGAACACTTCGACTAACTCGAGTCAATTTGTAAAGGACTCATCTGAGGAGTGACGAACGATCTTAACCTAGGTTCGGGACATCGACTGCCTGATTGTGAGTCTTCTTGACTTCTGCCTCACAAGGAAGAGCGGCATGTCTTGTTTCATCAAGCACGAAGTAACGTTTAGATGGCAGTGCACTCGAAAAGGTTTTTGTGCTGCGATTTTCCGGCTTAGCCGTCAGGTGGCCAAACAGTGATATTTTAAGATTGCGCTCAAAATATAACAACAAACCCAGAAAAAACAAACGTCTTGAGCCAAGCCTGACGCTGCGCCGGAGCCGCTTGATAGCGCCTCTCATTTTGTGCGCATAAGCTCACGCTACGGATATCCTGGCATAGCCGAGCTAAGCCACCGCATTTTTTTTATATATATACAATCGGTCTAGTAAAAGCTGTAACAGTACACTAGGACCTAAAAAAGCTTAAACCACCACAGCGAAATTAAGAAAAAAATCTGAGCCTACTAGTTGTTAAGTAAACATTTCGAACACCGTGAAAGCATTTATATTCTCTACTTACACATCGAATTTCAAGCATTTCTACCGAAACTTGGGTGTTGCAATCTTTCACGAACGCTGTAACAAAGTGGGGCCTCATCTTTTTTCAACAATAAGTTCGTGTAAAATTGAATATTCACAATTTTTTTTAAGTAAAAAACTAAACACACAGAGATTTGAACAACAAAAAGAAATCAACTTATAGCTCTAGGCTTAACCCCACACGGATAGCACCAGCACAAAGTTCATGAACGTGGCAACAGAAGCAAATAGCCGCTGGAGGGGCGAGCTTCTATTGACTTCCCTAATTATAACTTCTTTGAAGAGGTGATGAAACGATATTATGTTAAAATGACTTCGCACAGGCATGCTGATCCTAGTCTGGCCCAAGTATACGCACCCACACCGCAACTGATACAGAAGTTTCTGAGTCGAATTGCGAGGATAAACGGAGACTATTTGTTTTAGTCTCGCCTTTGCTAAAGCTCGATGACGTAATTGTGGAATCAAAACCACCAGCCTGACCACAGTCGAGCGCGGCTCATGGACTGGACACGAGAACTGCGTGAGCACTCAACCTCGGCTCGTAACAATCAATGCCTCGGCTGACACTTGGGTAGTGGCTCGTGTCCAACCACTGCGGGGATGAGCCTAGCCAAACTCTAACAATGCCTGGAGCTCAGCACGTATTTTCTGCTTTGCCAACGTCAGCGCGTGGCTATGATGAACGTTGGCGGCGTGGGAGAGGCACCAGGCCACGTTGCCACTTCTTGCTTCGAGCCGAGGAGATGAACGATGTTCCTATTTTTTTAATTTCTTTTGGCGACTGTCATAGCCTAGAAAGAAAAGCTAAGATTAGTTTATTCGGTTATTAACGTTTGGAAGTGATTCTAAGTTTTACTGAAAGAAAGTATAAAAAACGTTTCCTGGCCCCTTTTATAAGTGCCCTTTCGCGTACTTAGAAAAGCTTGTAGCGTGAATCAACAGGCGTACTTCGGAACTCGTTTTCATGGACTTCACATTACCTGCATTAGGAAGAGAGATATGCTCGATGGGGGGGGGGGGGGGGGGGGCTTAGGTAAACATATCCTAGTGGTTGACTCGCTAGCCTTTAGTCGGATTTCAAGAATTATTATGCCCTATTGGGTAAGCTAATCTGGGATGGGGCTAAAACCCACGGCGTGAATCACTAAAGCGGGTTTGCCTAAGCACCCACTCCCCCCCCCCCCCCCCCCCCCCCCACACACACACACACCTTTCTCTGCCCCCGTAAACCAGCCGATGTGATGTCCATGTAAACGCGCCAGTCAGGGTTCGGAAACTGTCCTCTTGACTTACTCCACAAGCTTATCCGAATATCTCATGGGATATTCGGTGGGAGGGGGGGGGGGGGGGGGGGAGGGGGGATAGATTGTGATATACAAAACGAGTAATTTTATGTAATCTAAACAACCTCTCTAATTCCTAATGTAAAGTTGGTTGAGTTGTCATTTGCTTTAAATGAGCCCGATCATCTCCCCAGTATTGCTTTCAACGCAATTGCTAAGGTAACGTGACAGGTCGACTTTCGTTCGAGACGCTCCAATGCTTTGAAAACACGGTCAAGTTAAAACCCGATTGGGTCGTTCATGCATGGCAAACATGCCGCCAAGACAAGTCGAAGACACGACAAACACGCATTGACGTAATCCTTTATAACAACTGAAAATATATAAAAAAAAGTTTTATAACTAACAAAAACACCTTCTTGTAGGCTTTCATAACAACGACACATAAAGAAACCCGACCGCGTTGTCAACGAGGCATTTCTTCAACTCTCCTTCGAGCATGGTTGGCTGAACGTTCCTAAAGTGTAAAGTCTGGTTTCATTTTGAGTCCGACCACGACCGACGGTCCGATTTGACGGAGAAAATTAAGCTGCGTCAAAAGTGCACCGTCATGATGCTCATCATCTTTGCGCATTTGCCATCGCCGGCAAAAGCAATCACGCACGGTCAATGTGCCGCGATCCGGCGTTTTTTGTGTTTTTTTTTTTTTTTTGTTATGAGCATGATTGGTTTTGCCGCTGATAGCAAACCCACCAAACCAACCAGCGTCGTGACGCTACACTTTTGGAGCTGCTTGAGACGGCTCTACGGAATCGCAGCTTCGACTGTGGAGTACTTAGGTGAAACGGAGTATAGCTTCGGTCAACGTCGAAAAATGTTTTTTTTTAGAAGCAGCGAAAGAATGTGAAAAATTTCATGTGGACGCAACTACTTTGATGAAGCGAAACCTTCGGCAAGCGCAACATTGAATGAAGAGCTGGTTGATTAGCAAACAGATACGCCATAAAGGTATTTACACTCCGTCGTCTTTTGGTCCTTTCTGACCGTACGATTCTCTCAGCATCGACGGAGAATGGCAGCTGCCTTGAAATTATCTAGATTTTTCTAGCTCCACAGATAACGATGCTGCCAGAGAAATACCGAAACTGCTCGCTCTATCGAGTTCCTCTGGGTTGGGAATGTGAGAACTGGCGGCACCAGAAATTCTCCGCATCTTACAACAAACTCTGGGCAGTCTACTGGAAGGAATTCTGGCGTCTGGATTTGTAAGCGTCCAGCTAGGCCTATAAAAAGCTCTAGACAGCATTATCGCCTCTTGACACGCCGAGCATTCTCTTCGCTGCAAGAGCCGCGCGCCCGACGGGTGCCGGCCTGAGAACCGAGGATGCTCCCACAATATTGTTCCTCTTTCGAGCACACTCGGAGACTCTGCCCTGCAAGTACACTAGGCCCACCGAGTTGACGTCTAAGCCTAACGTGTCCGTCGCAAAGTTTCGAGTCCTCAGAGATTCCTGAGCACATACGCGCACCACCAAACGCAGCGAGTTCTGGAGACTTTGTAGATTGGCCTGATTTCGGATCCGAGCAGAGGACGTCGTCTGATGCCTTTGATCGAAGGTCCCTCGCCATGTTCAGCAGGAGGACAAACGCAGGTGTCTTCGCTGTTCGAGTCTAGAGCGAAGCTTGCAGGAGCAGCGAGGCAAGCACGAGTCCCATCAAGGCCGAGAACATTGCACAGCCGCTGCAGCTTGGCTCGTCGATGCGGTAGCCGGAACAGTGGGTGGACACCAGGTAGCCACCGGCCTTGACGATGATGTCCTCGGCGAGTTCTGCGGCTTCGGCGTCGCAGCGGGCGAGAACGGCCGCCTTGGCGCACTGCTTGTAGCCGTCCATTTGACTGGGAAAGCGCAATGGAAGGGCGGTATTTTGTTAGGACTCGTGCAAAGTAGACCTTCCTGAAGCCGAAGTTGCACTGCTCAGACGTCATAAAAAAGACACGGGGTTCATTGCAGACAGTATGTGCTTCGTATGCTTCGAACATCAATCTCTAAAGATTTCTTTTTTTGCGTGTGACCATGTGATAGGAATGTCATACAAAAAAAAAAAAAAGAAAAACCTAAACCTCAGACAGACTGTCTTTTGTATGATGTATTAGCAGTGTTACCTGGCTGTATATCGCCGATATTAGCCGATATGTTTTGCTGGCGCCCTCTTATGGTTTCCGTTAGGGACGCCACGACCAGGATTTGCCTCGCCGAGATTGGCAGGATACGCCTCGCTATGAACCGGTGATTGGGCAGGTATTATTAGTATACAGGAAGCTATGGTCTGGCCAATCGCGAACTTCGAGCACAGCGAAGCTTTTGGTCGCGCACGTGGCTAATAAACAGACCCTGACAGCTTACGAAAAGCGCGGGCCGTGGCTTAATATAGGTTCCCGATTATTCCTTTGTGATTGGTTCCTCGGTGTTGTTATCAGATAATCGCGGAATCTAATTGGCTGCGGAGCTATAATAAGATTATCATATTCCGCCCAGCCCTGCGTTTCCTGTCGGTGACTAGAGGTACCGTAGTAAAGTACGCTGCCGTCCCCATTGCGAACGGGCCTTTGGAGAGTTTTAGGGAACGTTTTTGCACATCCGATATGATACGATGGGTCTTCCATTACTAACTGTGCACGTGGGAGTCTTCTGGGGTAGCGCATGCACAACTCGTACCTGAGGGCCCATCGAACCGTAGCGGATGTGCAAGAACGGTACCCCTTAAAACTTTCTATTGGCGCATAACTGTTACTCTGGAGTCGTTACCGTCATCAACGCATTATTCGTTTAAAAAACGCACAATGTATCGTAAACTGCCCTGTAATTGTGTTGTTACGTTAAACGTTCTTGGTTTAGCGCTAGTAACCTCCAGGCGTTTTTTCTCGAGCTGTTCCTCCAGGTGTCTTCACTCCCCTCCATCCCGCTAACTCCTCTCCGCCCCATTTACTTTCCCCGCCGGGTCGGCCTGTGTTCCCAAGTATATAGAATGACGGGCTGCGGCCGGTCACGGTGTCAATTTACCCGCTAAATTTAATAGGCAAACTGAATTTATGTGTAGTTCACGTGACGTCAATGTTCCCCCTAAATCTAGCGGGGAAACTGAAGTCATGTGACGTCACAGGCCACGACTTCACGAGCGCGGAGTAGCTCTAAAATTAATTGAAACGTATCTTGCAGATCGTTACCAATATGTTCTAACAAACGGCGAATCGTCAAATAGACTTAAAATACAGCATGGTGTTCCTCAGGGGTCAATTTTAGGTCCCCTTTTTTTCTTATACATGTTAATAATATAACGACTATATCCGGTTCCCCCAATCTAATAATGTATGCGGACGATACCAACGTATTTTTTTCTAGAGTGACGAAAAAATGCCTAGAAAATGCTGCAAATGTCTACCTATTAAAGCTATCCAATTGGTTACAAACAAATTGTTTAACACTAAATACAAGCAAAACTAAGTATATTATTTTTAAGCCGATAAATAAACTCGACTGCAGCCCCATAAGCTTAAAATTTAAAGACACTGTGGTTGAGCAAGTGTCGGAACAAAACTTTTTCGGCGTATGGTTTACTGAGGACCTTTCATGGAACACTCACGTGAATAAACTCAAAGGTGAATTATCTCGTGTTACGGGAAGTATATATAGAATACGAAACTTGCTGCCCACTTCGGTAAAACAGACGTTGTACTATTCTTCGTTCCACTCTAAAATCAGTTACGACATTTTAGTCTGGGGGACGACGATCAATTCGAACTATGTCAAACTTACCACTTTGCAGAAGAGAATTCTTCGCAGGTGCAAAAATTATAAAGGAGATATTAGAACCACAAGAACCCAACCACTATTCATCAAATATAATATGCTTCGGGCAGACCAAGTAAGCTCTTACAATGGATTCACGAACACAGAATATACTGCACACCAAAAGCGAATTTAGGTCCTTACCAACTACGAGTCCCAAAGCGAAGGATGCCTTCAATAAGAACCAATTATGGCCGCACTGCTTTGTCATGTCAGATAACCAAGATGCTCAACAGAACAGACATCACTATAAATTATAATAAAACATTTTATGCCTTCAAGAAACAGTGCCGAAGCTTTCTCGTGAGCAGTGGTATCAGCTTCTCAGTTGTGTAATATGTAAGCTAAGTTGTTATTTTTATTATGTCCTTATATTTCTACAAATGTGGCTCTTGACATATGTTCCATCATTCTTCATTGCTAAACCAAATGGCGGCCATCAGTCCTATTTTATGCTGTGTCCTTCTCACTCTTTTTTCGTGTAAAACCTTTTATTTTATGGTTATATTAGTGATATGATGCTTCTGAGTCATACGATGTTACATTTGTTATACATTTGGAATCATGCTTGTTGTGTAACATGTGATTTTGCTAGTTGTTTGATTGTGCCGTTTTATTTTATTTTACAATTCATAATGTTCAATGTTAAATTCGATGTTTCATTGTGCCTTCTTTTTTATTTTTACTGAGTATACCAAGTTCTGAATATATTTCTTTGCCTTGCTGACTGTTGACCTTTTGGGGGGCAGAGACACTGTCAAGCTTCACGGCTTTATCTCTGCCCCCTGGGCGGAAAAACCTGCCAAACAAATAAAGGGAAAAAACCCGGTAAAACTAGCCAAAGAACGTTTCACATTAAAAAGCTTTAGACCCGCTTTAACAGCCCCGCGTTCCTGATTCGGCAGAAATAAACCTCGTAATTTCTGAGGCTGGAGCGATCTCTTATTTACGTGCTACAGATGTACGGCGCTGTAAATACTAGATAGGCGAGCTCAGCGATCAGCGGCAAAACTGGACTCGTTCAACATTGCATGAAAGGGGATCTCTAAAACACCTAACCCAAGAAAGAAGAGAAAAAAAGACCGGCATGCATTACAAGTGCCCGACGTAGACAATATTTGTTTATTCCTTGTACATTGCGAACAGCGGGACTTTCTTTTTGCATACCATGTCGGTCAATATCAGGGAACTCATTCTATACCCTGTTCACCCTCAACGGGAAAGTGAAGAGGTTTTTGAAAGAAACGAGCTATATGTGAATCACAAAATATTTTTATCCCGTGAATCTGAATTCCCATTCGTTTTCTCCGAAGATTTAACTAAACGCGAGAAAACACAAAAAACCACCGACAAGTCGTTACTGCCACGGCGGACACTTGGGAAGTGGCTCGTGTCCAAGCACTGCCGTGATGAGAACAGCCGAACTCAACGAACAGTGCTTGGAGCTCAGCACGCGTTTTCTATTTAGCCAACCCCAGCTATGGTTAACGTCGGCGGCATAGGATAAGGACCAGGCCACGTGACCGCTTGTTCTGGCTCCGAGTTGCGGGGATGAACGATGCTTATAATTCTCGAATTGTTTTGGCGATTGCCATTGCGTAGAAAGGAACGCTAAGGCAAGTTCATTCAGCTATAAGCGTTAGGGAGTAATTATAAGTAGCGTTTAGAGAAAGTAAAAAATCATTTTCTGACCCCTTTAAGTTGAGGCTGCAGTCAAAGTTACAAGCGGCAGCTAGTTCCCGCTCCTGGCTTTGAGACGGGCCTTTCTAGCGCGAGCGCTTGTTCTGCGGAAAAACGTTTCAAAGCCGCGACCTCGTGCTCTCGTGCCTGTGCCATTAGCTGCAGCCGACTGTTTCTGTTCACTCTCCGGATGAAATGCAGCTCACCAGCAGGAATGCCTTATCTTATCCTGGGCGCTGAGCACTTGTCCCTGAAGTTCTGCCCTCTGTTGCATGTACACGGAGGCGCACTTGTTGTAGTCGTCCTGGAGCTGTTTGTAGCATTTGGAGTGCTTCAGGTACGCTGCAATGGAAACCGACACAGCTCTAAAGGGGGTTGGGATACAATACCGCTTATGGTCAATTACAAGGTGAGAACGATGGAGCGCTTCTGGAATGCTTGACCTCCAGCACGTGAAAGCCTGGCAGTTCGACGACGGAGGCACAGAGCGCCCGGTCGCAGATTTGGAGCACGAAGATCTGGTAGCACCGAGCATGAAAGAGCCATTTCTGGGAACCTGGACGTCAGCACACAGCTTTTGCAGCGTCGAGGACCCGAAACACATTTGTTCACTCGGGGGAAGTGTGTTTCGGAGTCTCACCGCAGCGGGGCGTCAATCACGTGGCTCTCCACTCATTCGTAATCTGCCGCTCCACCTTTTCCATTTCGACGGCCGCTTCTCGTGGCGATCTGCCAGGCTTTGTCACTATATAGGGTCTATTCACTGGGCGCCATATTTGTTGGTGCTGTTTAGAGCGCATGCTCAGAATGAGCTCACATTAATAGGCTGCTAAGACCGGCAACCTTGACGGTGTGGAGTGCACGTTTCAAAATAACTGTGGAGGTTCGCCATCAGCACGCGCTCAGCAATCGCGCAGACAGCTATGGCCGCCAATGAATACACCCTATAGGGAGTATTCACTGGCGGCCATATCCGTGTGCGCTGCTGCTGAGCGCTCGCTGACGGCCTTTTGGAGCGTGCATTTAGCACCATCAAAGTTGCCGGTATTAGCAGGCTATTAAGGGGAGCTCGTTCTGAGCATGCGCTCTAAACATCACCCTCAAATATGTTGTCCAGTGAATACCTCCTATAGGAGGCTAAAGCGCGATCCAAACCAACGCTTCTTTTTGCGCCTGTAGGTCGTGCGGCTGCGGATGTGACGCATTTTCGTGACGTCGCGCCGCTTCTTCGCTCCTTCCGGGCGCGCACGAAGAAGTTGGATGATTTCAACTTCTCTCTGGACGCGCACAAAAACGCGCGGTGACGTAGCAGGGCGCGCCTGTGTCCCGGCCAATCGGTGGAGGGCAAGCTAGTTCCGGCTCCGCGTTTCTCGCCGTCTGGCTGCCCTCTCCTCCCCCCCTTTTATTCTCTTCCAACATGACAACGCGATCTCTCTCTCTCTCTCTTTCTCTCGCCGTCTGGCCGGCCAGTCTGTCGCAGTTGCACCTTGCTTGTGCGCTCGTGCCTGCGTGCGCGCGTGCGCGCTCGCCCGAAGTTTCGCCCGTCCAAACCAAAGCGCACGGTTCTGACTCAGAAAGCGCGCCCGGAAACACCAAAAACGCCACGAAATGCGTCACATCCGCAGCCGCACGACCCACAGGCGCAAAAAGAAGCGTTGGTTTGGATCGCGCTTAAAGCACGAGACGACGAAACGTTGCCGAAGGTAGGAACCTCGCGCTAGAGGCGGGAAAACTGAACTTTCTTCTGGATATTTTCGTTTTGTCAGTGACGTTTATAAAAGGTCAGGCCTACTCATTACGGCATCTTTAGTAGATCTCCGAATCATCCCAAGTGGTAAACAAGGTGAAGCCCGACTGAGAGTACTCGGCAAAGCGACCGACGGGTGCAACTTTACGTCACCTGCGCTTGCATTGCGATTGCCTGAAGCTGAGCAGGGTGGTTATTCATGCTTGTGGGATATCGTGTATATTTCTTCCTTCGTTCAGCTGGCATATCCCACAGGCTTCCATTGCACCGGTTTGGACACGCTTTACAACAAACGTACGGCGTCGCAGACACAAGCTACTCGTTTCTGCATGAATTCAACATATCCACTCTTAGGATCAAAGCGATTGGGCGGTTTGTGAGTTTCCTGGCCTTCAGCGCGAGTGCCATACTATCGACAACAACGTTACTAGGTCAAAGTCAGTTGACGAGCTGCCCTGAACGCGTGACGACTTTTCGTGGCGCGTCCGCTCTCGCTACACTATCACCCCTGCCCGTATGGACGGAAGCGAGGTAGCCGGTGGAACGTTGGACGCACGTTGCCTGCGGGGCAAGAGATATTTTATGGTGCACATAAAGTTTACGGAAACGTCCGCGCAAAAAGAGCGTCGTTCGAAAGCGACTCTTGTCCGTTGAGCCGTTAGATCAGTGCCAGAGATGGCAGTAGGATCGCTATCCGCTCGTTACCTGTTCGCGTGCAGGCGGCAGATAAGAACTGTTTTCGAACGACGATCTCGGCGGAGCTAAAGTAACTGGATCGTAGGAAAGTAGCGCCAAGCTCCTCGTGGGGTCGCCATTTTGGCTTTTGAAATGAAGGCTCCTTGACTTTTGCATTCTTGGGAAGCCGATCTAAATTCGTCGGTGACAGATAGCTTTATAGACACGTTTCTTGTATACCGAGATTTTGCTACCCACACACCAGCGAAACATGTGTACAGCTTCTTACCACCCCCCCCCCCCCCCCCCCCCCCCTTCCGCCCAACCCGGTGTCGGTGCTTCGAAGCATTAAAAAATAATTTTTCTGTTTTCAAATACGCAAGAAAAACACTATAATTCCAAGTGATCCCTGAAATTGGCACGATAGATAGGTTGATTGCACGCTCAGTGCCAGAGATGCTTATATTGGCGAGGAGCGCCCTCAGTACGACGATGCTCCATGGTGATCTGGGTGAGACTGAATTAGAACGACCCTCTCGAAGCTTCGAAGATTTGAAGGGGCCGAAGTGGCGATTCTCATGGCAACGGAAACCGATTAGCCAATCGCCTTGCGAGGTTTTGGTCGTCTGTATCTTAGTATCCGTTTGTGTTCGGCTAGCAGACGTAGGAAGGCAATGGCGCAACTATACCAGGATCCAGTGACTTTAGTTGTAGCCTCTCATCTGGAAGGTTAAGCGATAACGTTTCGGCCTCTGGTGAGCTTTCGGGCGCTTACACGTAACAGAAGCACGACGGAATGAAGCGAGTGCGTGCTTTAGGCCCGGTATTCGAAAAATACTCCCTATATAATATTTAGTCATAGGAATAAGCGCGCATTGTTTTTTTTTTTTTTATATGTTGGGGCGCAGTGAAACCGGGATTGTTTGAATTCAAGCGCACGCAAGGAATGCTTGCTGAGGGGGGAATCTTACAGCGGAGTGGTTAAGGGCTAGTTTCCCCAGTATCGTGTCCGTCCTCAAATGACCTGATGGCACAGAAGACTGGACAGCTACCGCCATCTATAAGCAGGCAACCGGCTTCCCGCTTGTATGGTAGCCGCCGTCGCTCATAGATCGCGGCTAATTTTCGAACCTTTCCACTCTGGCTTGCCAACTTGCGGCCGGCCATTACTTCATTCCCACCATAGTACAGCTTCGCTGGTCTTCCTTCTTCACCAGAGTGGAAAGGCTGATTCTTTTTTTCTATAGATGCTTTATAATCTACTGTTTAAGCTTTTTGTTTATTATTCACTTCTTCGCACGCAGCTATTAAAACCCTATTAAAAAAATCTAATTTGTATGATCAATTTTTCTGTCTAATAAACATATATGAATCATACAAGATATATAAGAACATATACGAACCATATAAGAAACTTTAGAGAAACTTCTCACAAGCTTCTTATATTTTTCTTATATGTCTTATATAGTTCTTATATACTGCTTATATATTCTCGTATATCTTGTATGAGCCATATGTGTTTAATGGAGGCAAGAAATTTCTCATAGAAATGGCTTTTTCTTTAGGGGACGCGTGGGCCTTTATATATGGCAATGTCGCAAACGCCTGTTTCTTCTTCTGAGAGTTCACAAGCAAGCAACGATGGCAAGCTAGTGAAGCGCCCCAAGCAGAAATGCGGGTTTGTGAAAAGGCGTTTTCTGCGTACGTACTCTCCCTGAACTGCGAGCCCTGGCGGCAGAAGTCTTCAATGAGCTGTGCTGCTCCGCTTGTCAGCCTCTTGTAGATGTCGCGCTGCTTGTCGTTGAAGCAACGTTGCGTGAAGCCGTTCACGCATTCCATGGCACCCGTCAGGTGGCTGCGAACAGAAACCACGTAAAAGCTCATGTAAAAGAAGCTAGTTGGGGGTGCGAATTCAGTCTGTGCTTGTACACGGGCCCTAGTGTCAAGCTGTAAATTGGCGTTGAGGCAATCTACCCAACATGACTGGCGGCGAACATGAGTGCCGTCGACTGCGGAGTGCTCAACAAGGGCAGCTCGTCGAGCTCGTCTATTCCTATGAGTGCAAGTAGTTTTGCGTTCACACTGATCTTTAGGGGAAGATCTCCTCAACCGACGTAATTTGCAACAAACTGTCGCAAGTACGCGCCTTCGGAAGCGCTGTGCGGGTGCTCGTTTTCGAGTGGCACTCAGTTGGTTGAACGACGTTTTAGCAAACTAAGTCCCGCCCCCGAGCTTCTAATCGAAAGACACTTTAGCGAATTCGGCCGCTGCGAAGCAGCATGCGCGATTGGGTCGGGTGGCTTATTTTTTGTAATGAGCGCCGCAGACTGGTTGCCGCGAAGCGGCGCGAACGGAGGGAGGGGGGGAGGAGGGGAAGGGGGGGGGGGGGGGTTGGTTGCCACGCGCCTTAATTATACACGTCATTCGCATTCGCATTTGCTCAAATGACCGCTGTTCAGTAAAACGTCATTCAATCACGTGATATGGACTCCCTGTTTTCGTAGCGGGACTGGCCTAAGTCTAGCCTCCCACGTCAACTGTCGCTTGATCTGACTTGATTTGTTCGTTTGCGCATGTTGATGCCGAATAAAGATTTTGGTTTCCATAAAAGCAGCTCCACTGCTCTATGAATTGTGCAACCGTCGTGAATGAACTCAGGTAAGAGTTTGCGAGCCACTTGGCTGGAGGCAGTCGGCCGTTCGGCTCGCATCAAGTTTGTCTATGTTTGCTCCCATCATTTCGCTTCCAAAGGAAAGCAGTTTTCAAGTTGTGCAGTGCACCTGAGGCCGTAATCTGAACACTTGGCGAAAAAGTCAGCGAGGAATTTGACCGCCGTGAATGGACGGCGCCGTGGTCAAGCGCAGCGCCGGCCAATCACGGCCGCCAGATTCCTCGCCGACTTTTTCGCCAAGTGTTCTGATTAGGGCCCCTGGCCTGCCAAATCAAATATGTTAAGGTTGGGTTTTAATAGACCGATCTCACCAAGGTTTTGCTGCATTCGCGAGGCAGCCATAATTTTAGTTCAGAGGGGGCAAGCGGGAATGCACGAGAAGGCTCGTGCCGTCTCGTGCTCTATAAGCGCAGAGTTCGAGGTGGTCGAACGCGCAGAAACTTCTCTCGATGCATTGCGGCAGCGGTGGCGTAGTCAAACTGGCTGATGAGATCGATTTATTGTGCTTCATGACGCTCACCCACCTTGCTCGCGGGTACCTCGGAAAAATAGAAAATAAAAGCTGGATGGACCGCATATTTTTTTGTTAATTTTTCTTGATCTCTCGGTCGTTTTTTGCCACACATCGACAGACGCTGACAGACCCTTGCCGGAAAAGACTTCCGCGCGTCTTCTCAGATGACTAGCGGGCAGTGTTAAACTTTCAGACTAGACGCACGGGATGTCGCAAAAGGGAGACACTACGCTTGCACTCTAAAAAAAGTTCGTGCGTCTACTTTCCCGCACAACACTCGTAGAGCCAATCACCACAACTTACGGAGACAGCTCAGCGAATGACAGTGCCGAAACCTATGTTTAGACCAAATAACGCAGTCTAAGAATTGTGACATTAAGCAATGCAAAACGTCACGCTTGTATTGCTTAATCTCACAACTCAGACTGCGTTTTTTGGTCTAAACATATGTTTCGGCATCGTCATTCGCTGAGCTGCCTCCGTAAGTTCCGGTGATTGGCTCTCCAAGTGTTGTGCGGGAAAGCAGACGCACGGGCTTTTTTTTAGAGTGCGTGTTCCGCCGAGCAGCCAAACAAGTAGTAATGGGCGGGCCCACTAACCTCAAAACTTGGCGCCACAGACTGTGAGCTCCGTCACTCTAAAAAAAAAGTCTGTGCGTCTACTTTCCCGCATAACACTCGGAGAGCCAATCAGCGCAACTTACGGAGGCAGCTCAGCGAATGACGATGCCGAAACATACGTTTAAACCGAGAAACGCGGTCTGAGAATTGTGACATTAAGCAATGCAAAACGTCACGCTTGTATTGCTTAATCTCACAACTCAGACTGCCTTTTTTGGTCTAAACATATGTTTGGGCATTGTAATTCGCTGAGCTGCCTCCGTAAGTTCCGGTGATTGGCTCTCCGAGTGTTGTGCGGGAAAGCAGACGCACGGGCTTTTTTTTAGAGTGCGTGTTCCGCCGAGCAGCCAAGCAAGTAGTAATGGGCGGGGCCACTAATCTCAAAACTTGGCGCCACAGACTGTGAGCTCCGTCACTCTAAAAAAAGTCTGTGCGTCTACTTTCCCGCATAACACTCGGAGAGCCAATCAGCGCAACTTACGGAGGCAGCTCAGCGAATGACGATGCCGAAACATACGTTTAAACCGAGAAACGCGGTCTGAGAATTGTGACATTAAGCAATGCAAAACGTCACGCTTGTATTGCTAATCTCACAACTCAGACTGCCTTTTTTGGTCTAAGCATATGTTTGGGCATTGTAATTCGCTGAGCTGCCTGCGAAAGTTGCGGTGATTGACTCTCCAAGTGTTGTGCGGGAAAGCAGACACACGGGCTTTTTTTAGAGTGCAGCTAAATTACGTCTAACGGCCGCGAGCTCCACATAAATTACGTCTAACGGCGTAAATATTGCACGATTGTTTTTCGGCGAACAATTACTATAAAGGTACGTGTTACGTCTATGTCCTTAAAAAAAATTTTGTTCCTTTTAGTGTCCTTTTAACTCACGTGCCCAGACTGCATTCGCATAGCTTCTAAAATTACAAAAGAATCTGTTAAAAATTAAAATAAAATTTAACGATCTGTATTTTCACGTGCATGAGCCAACAAATTAAGACAAATGAAGCGGACGTATCCTTATTTGCCCTTATATTTAGATGAAATGTTTTCCTTGTACATTAGTAGTTAGTGTTTTTTGGTAGCGAGGACGAACCCAAAAGTTCAGAACCAGCCTTTTAACAAATTATGTGTTCATATCTTAGCAGAATGTAGACTCACGCGGTGAGTTTTAGCGGTTTTAACGTTGAACGTCTCGTCATCGAGAAACACCACCACTTAGAAAACATCGAAGGTAAGACCGGAGTGCAGCATTTCGGAAGTACTCTACGAGGCGCCAGGCGCGGACTGCACACGAGTGCTGTGTCAGCGTTCGGCTGGAGCTCGGGTTCTCACTGACGGGACACAAGTGCCAGCCGAATGGACGAAGCGTTCTGCGCACGCGCAAGCGCCCGATGCCAAGCGGCGGAAGTCGGAACGAAAAATCGAGGAAATTTGGAAGGAGGCTGTATATCAGTGAGTAGAATACGTAACTGCAGCATCTATATAATTGTGTCACACAAAAAAAGAACATCGACGGAAAAAGAAACACGACGTTCGGGTGGACGCCACGGATGCCCCTCTTTCAAGTCGCGTTGGGCACGCGCCGCTGCTCAGAGAGCGAAGAAACTGGTGGCGTAGCTCCCGTTATTGATTGGTAGCGCAGGTAGGTCACTTCCTCGATTGTTAGTTCGTGCAGCCACCGCCTGGTGCCGTCGGTATGTGGAAAAGGTCCATTTGACTCGGCCCGATATCTCGCTCCGACCTCCAGTAGGTGGCGCAGAAAACCAAGCACTGCTGACTCGTTACCTAGAAAATGTTGGCATACTCCGTGAGCGCCGTGACAATGCACTTTTGGCGTTGCTTGATTGGCTCTGTCGGAGCGTGGCGTCGGGTTCGGTGGGACTCAAGGTGCGTTCCCACTTGCGAGTCGGAACGGTCGCGCGACAGATCTTTGTAGCAAAAGCGACCGTTGCAGACGGAATGGTGACCGCGGTTTGGGCACTCGCTTCCAGCTCGAATTCTTAGACTGATCGCCGAGTCGCCCCGCGAGTGAACCCATCAGCGGCGCCTCGGAAGTGACGTGTGGTGCGCCTCAGGTTTGTCTACTTCCGCCATTTGCGAGAGATAGAGCCAACATGTCTGTCAACGCCTTGGTTCTCGGAAGCGAGCATGGATACGCAGTAACGAAGGTCTATAAACAACAACAACAACAACAAAAAATCGTTCAGCTTTTCCTTTTTCGTAAAGAAGGAAGATCAGCCGAGCTGTACTCGATATACTGCGTGCTTCTTCTTCGGCTTCGTCTGTTTTTCGCGCCGTTTCCTACGATGAATTCCCACCAACGCGCCCAACTTTCGATTCTTCTATGATAGCTGGAAAGGTTGCCGCCATCTACGAGCGACGGCGGAAACCATACTGGTTGTGTGCTTGCCGCCGTCGCTTATAGATGGCGGTAGCCGTCCAGGTAGGTCTGTGTCGACATACCGGACACGATCCTGGGGAACCTAGCCGTTAACAACTCCTCTGTAAAAAAAAAAACAAAAAAACAGCGTTTCTATTTGAGCAAGCGCTTGAAGAAAAGCTCCGCCTGGCAGCAAGTCGGCGGCTTTTGGTTTGACGGGCACGTACTGTACCGCGGAAGCTTGTTTGCACGCCGACGTAGCCATTGCGCTGTCATTGCACGGTTCGGAAGGACCGAGGCCCATATCACGAGTCTTTCTCCTACGGCGAAAACGACGCACGTGTAGCTGTGCGATAGCGAAAATGGGAAAGCAGCAAAACACGAACCCGAGCTGTGGCGGGAAAGACAAAATCGACGGCGGCTCCCGAGAGCTCCCGAGAAGCGAGTCACCGGTAGGGACTCGCCGATCGCTGCACTGTGAAGGTCGGAGGTTGCTGGTCGCATGTCGCTAGTCGGTCGCGCGACTGCTACGAATCGTAAGTGTCAACGCGCCCTTCAAGTGAAACGGGCAATGAGACCGAATGACTCACGCAGGAACAAAAATGAAAAGCGCGACTTACTCGCAGATGCGCGTGAGTTCGGGCTCTGTTGTGGCGAAAGCCAGGCTCTTGTTCTGCGAGAGCAGGTCGAGCTTGCTCACGCACTCGGACACCTCTTCGTTGTGGCACGAGCCGCCATTGCTGCGGACGGGACTGGAGCCGTTGGACGAGTGCTGCCCCAGGGCGGTCGAGGCGGCCCAGGCGCTCGATCCTTGGTTCCAGGACTGGCTGCACCACAGGACGCCTGCAAGCACAGGGACAAGCAATGCTTCAAACCCGAATCCACGCAGTAGTTGATTGCGTCAAGGTTTTGTACACCACTACTTTGTATCACAATCGGAGCAGATTAAGAAAGGGCGGGGGGCGCTTTGACTAATGCTTAAGTCCCACTATACTCCGTTCACCCTTAAGCTGAAACTACAACCAAAGTTACCTCCTAGCTTTGAGACGTGCATTTCTAGCGCGAGCGCTTATTCTCCGGAAGAACGATTCAAAGCAGCGATCTCGAGCTCTCGTGCTTGTGGCATCGCCTGCAGTCTCAGATTAGGGCTGAAAGGAGTGGAGGGCGACAAACATAACCAACCGACACCGACAAGCCTGAAACACTTGCAGCGTGTACTATCGGGGAAAAATGAAATGCGAACAGAGGAGCGCGTGGCTCGCGGTACAGGCTGCGCCGCCTGGAAGTGAGCCTAGGAGCGAGGGTGCGTGGCCTACTCCGACGTGTTCACGCCCCTCTCTCTGCGCTCTTCGAGCTTCAGCAGTGCGCCTCTTAGTGCGAGCTATCACCGCTATCTTTGCTGGCTCAGCGCGTGCGGTGCAAAGAAGCTCGCCGCACTCACCGAGCAGGCAAAGATAGTGGTGACAGCTTCCAGCGCACTGCGAGGCGCACTGCCGAAGCTGGGGGAGCGCCAATCGAGGGGCGTGAACACATCTAAGTAGGCCACGCACCCTCGCCCCCAGGTTCACTTCCAGGCGGCGCAGCCTGTACCGCGAGCCACGCGCTCCTCTGTTCGCATTTCATTTTTCCCCGATAGTACATGAAAGTTGCTTTGGCAGGCTTGCAGTCTCTCAGTGTTCGTGCTGTTATCACGAATGATTGCAGGCACGTCAAAAGTATCCTCGTGTCATAGCCTCCTCTAGACTCACAAAGCCTGGCAGTTCGACGACGGGGCCAAAGAGTGCCCGGTCGCAGATTTGGAGCGCGAGGATCTGGTAGCATAGAGCATTTGTGGTATTCAGCGCACTGCTTCTGCAGCGGCGAGGACCCGAAACATGGTTTTCAAACCCGACGAGAAAAGAAGCGGTAGTTTGAGGAACGCGAGTAGCACGAGCGGACATTCCATCGCTCGGAAGAAGTGTGTTTCGGCTTCTCGCCGCAGCGGGGCGCCCGTTACATGCCCCTCCTGTCATCCGTTGTCTGCCACTCTACCTTTTCAATTTCGGCGGCCGCTTCTCGTGGCGATCTGCCACGCTTTATCAGTATAGAGGAGGCTATGCTCGTATGCAGGCTGCACGTGCTTGCGATTCGTCGATGTCGGTTGCATCCGTTTGTCGCTCTATTCTCCGTTCACCTTGTAGCTGAGACTGCAGTTAATGCCGCAAGCACGAGATCGCGACTTTGAAGTGTTCTTCTGCAGAACGAGCGCTAGCGCTAGAGATGCTTGTCTCAAAGCCAGGAGCGCGGACTAGATCGTGCTTGCAGCTTTAGCTGCGGTCCAAGCTTAAAGTGACTATTAAATCACTTTCGAACTTTATTTTTTCAAATAAAGACCCAATTAATCATCACCATTCATAGAACCCGGAGCAGGAATCCATTTTCGTTTTATTTCCTCCAGTTATGCACAGAAAGAAAGGTGAAAGCTCAAGTCTGCTTATCTCCTCCGACCGGACTCTGCTACCAACACGTGAAATCACGAGGCCGTGACGTAAAGTATGCCTTTCTATCGGAAACGGAAGTTTTTTCAACCGAGCGAGGGAGCCGCGTTGGACACGAGCCATTCGTCACACGCACATATGTGCTCGTCAACAATCAATCCGTCGACGAATATTCGGATTCGCGTTCGTGGCCAATGAGTGCCGTGATGGCACTTATCATCACTTGCGAGGGACAAGTTCCATGGTCTGCTTAGAAAGCACGAATGGAAGCTTGGAGTCATTGCATCCGGTGCCCATCCACGTCACGACCCCCTGATTTTCCGTTTCGCTTTTAGATTGAGGAGGAAAGGTAAGGAGGAGCAAGTGGAAAAATCATTTCATGATTCCTTTGGGCGTGAGCGGAGTATAATTGGGCTAGGCATGCACATTTTTTCATGAAAAAAAAAGGACATGCTCCAACTTATTATAGAAGGAAACGCTTAGTTTTTGCTGAAATTACAGATATTAGGTAAACAAAATAGATATGGGCAAAGCTTCGTTGCGCACATCTATTTTGATAATCGTCACAGATGTAACGTCACGCAACGTTGACGATAACCAAACGCTGCGTAACATGTGACGTCACGCGACGCTAATGGACCCGTTCTATTTAGTTTATCGTCAAAGATGTGACGTCAAGCAACGCTGCGCGACGTCACATCTCAAACCTCCGAGCCAAGTGTCACACACACACACAAAGAAGCATGACCCATATGTCCGACCTGATCCCAAAGGGATACTGTACATAAACCCGTGGTGTGGCAAGCATCGAGCATCATATTACAGCTCCCCAGCCAAAAAGATAGCGGCATTAGTGAATGTGAGCTGTCGGGAACGAACCACCAAGCAAGCGGCGTGAACATATTAAGCCCCGAGTTTCTTACGTTGTCAGTGATAATGCGGAGAGCACGTTTATCTGCTTCTTTTGCACGGGTCACGTCAGAACGCAGAGCTATGATTAGCTCTGATTGGAAGGATAATGAGTAGACATCAATGCTAGCTGCCTCGAGGTCTACCCAATCAACCAATCGGAGCTCGGGGTCGTTCTGACGTCACCCTTGCGAAAGAAGCGGGCGAACTCGCACTCCCCACATGCGTCTATTGCCTCCTTATCCTTTTGTCAATCTGGGCACGAAGGAGGCGCTTTGGGCGGACCCCTGGGCGCCTTCAGAGTCGCCCGAAAATGCGAGTACTCCATCTCGAGTTGATGACTTAAGCATCAAGAGCAAAAGCGCGAAAGCGTAGCTTCGAAAAAAAGTGGTATTTGCCGGAAGCGCCGCAGAAGGAAGACGCTTCCTAAAGCCGTCCACTTGCACACGTGCCTCTACAAAAGAACGTCGCAGCATTCTTTAGGTGGAGTACAATTTGTTAGAGCATTAACGCAGTTGAGCGAGACACGCTCTGTGGGTGCTTTCTACAATCAATAAATCGCGGACGCTTAGGCTCTCAACCACAGTCCCACTCTCAGCACTTCTTGCAGGCGAGGCGGAACCCTTCCCTTCTGAGCCGTTTTAATCTCGAACTAATTCCCCTCGGAAGACAGGCGTCGCTCGGCAACTCGTCCTAATTATTCCTTTGGACGACATCGCAGTTCTCGAAGCCGGAGTCATATTGGACGTTCTGAATCGTACCAATTATCCACGTGGCGACTTTTTTTATTCTTCTTGACGAAGAGAACTCTCCAATACTGCCCTTGATTGTTAACACGCACGCAAACGCACGCATTGACGAACAGGCGTGCATAGCGACAGACAGGCGCAGGTACGCATACGTGCATACACGACCACAGACGCGGACATGGAACACACATGCATGATCGCGTGTTCCCAATTAAGCGCGGCGTCCAATTTTAGAGACTAGAGGGTCCTGCGAATACTACCCGGGCATACGAAGTGGAACGACTTGAACTGCAGTTTGAATGGGCCTCGGCGTAGAGCGCCGGGGTTTTGAATCGCGTCTTGACAAGAGGATTGGCGATCGGGGAAATTGAGTCATTAAAGAGTTTTAGTAGATCGGGCCGAGGACTCCGATAACAATACCCGATACTCCGCCACCGCTTTTGCGTATGCATCGTTGCGTTATTAGAGAGTTTTAGTAGATCGTTCCGATACCTCCGATAGCCCCGATAACGATACTATGCATGCACAAGGGAGGCGGTGGCGGAGTATCGGGTATCGTTATCGGAGTCATGGGAACGATCTACTAAAACTCTCTATTGGGGCGGTGGGGGCTATCGGAACGATTTACTAAAACTCTATTCTTCGCGTGCTAACAGAGATACAGTACTTACCTCGTTTGCTCGGGACTCAGGAAACCGGATATTTGAATAATCGAGCGCGTTCCGAAGGCCACGAGGACGGAAATAACATGTTTATAACGCTGTTTAGCGTCTTATGAGATTACAATGAAGTGCGCTTCTTGCGCTATATTGCGGCGGCTCGTGTTTTCCAGAGTGTTTTTTGTATGATGCTTAAGCAGAGTGACCCCGGCTTTGGGGACCATAGTAATATGCACGAAATGAAAATAGAAGAAAATCAAAGAATAAAAAATAAGCTCGAGTACGTTGTGTTTTTATATTCTTCATGCTAAACATATGTACGCCATGAAATCCCCACGCGTCATGTCCTCTCCTTTTGCGTTTGTTCACGCTCGTCCTTGCCATTTTCTGAAACCGCATGACGCTGATGACATCTGGCCGGGGGTCTCCTAAGGGACCAAGTCGTAGTGCTACGGTGCCACCCAAAAGAAGGCGAGCTCTAACACGAGTGCCACGTTCCTCTGGGACTCGTGTTATCGCCGACTGAGTCTCACCCAGGGTGCAAGATAGACAGGTGGGGAAACGGCCCATAGAAACCTACCGCAGCGCCGTGACCCGATTGTGTACTCGTCTGCTTGCGGGTGGCTTGCGGGTACTCCCGATTTGCGACAGATGGCGCTGCGACGAGAAGAAAGAAATTGGAATCGAATTTGCATGGAACTCTATGGGAGAGTGCGCAAAATAAACTGAGAGCACGAGAGTCCTCCATTGAAAATCCACGAGAAACCATCTCCGTCAGTTTAACCGGTCGCCAGCTTTCGCCCACCCGGAGTGAAAGTTCGCGGTGCTCCACATAGATGGCGCCACAGAAAAAGAGAAAACCGAGGGGGACACAATCGGGTCGCTCATTTGGCTCTCGTTTCACCACCTGTCTATCTTACACCCTGGTCTCACCCCAAACCAGGGTGCAAGATAGGCAGGTGGTGAAACGAGAGCCAAATGAGTGGCCGGATTGTGCCCCCCTCGGGTTTCTCTTTTTCCGTGGCGCCATCTATGGGGAGCACCGCGAA